CATGCCTACTGTGAGCACATGGCGGTGGCGAATTTGGCCTGTGGGGACACCAGAGTCAATGTCATTTATGGCCTCTTTGTAGCTTTTGTGGTGGTGGTTTTTGATGTGATGCTGATATTTGTGTCCTACACCATGATCCTGCGAGCAGTCTTGAGGCTGCCATCCACAGAGGCAAGGCTCAAGGCCTTCAGCACTTGTGCATCCCATGTCTGTGTCATGCTGACCCTTTACATCCCTGCCCTCTTCACTTGCCTCACCCACCGCTTTGGACAGCGCGTCCCTCACCATGTCCACATAGTGGTGGCTGTTCTCTACATGCTACTGCCCCCCGTGTTAAATCCCATAATTTATGGGGTGAGAACCAAGCAGATCCGGGACAGAGTGGTCCTGCTCCTCTTCCAGCGGAAGTGAACATGACCTATATCTATGTGTCTCAGACTATGCATATAATTTATGAATTACTCTCGTAGCTTTAATGAGAGTTAGAGAGAAGGCTTTTCTTTTTTTTTCCCAGGAGGAATTTTTCCCCCATTCCTGGAGTTTAGAAAGGGAGTTCAAGTAGGAATCCTTAGAGTATCTCTCCTGTTATTCCACTCCAGGGGCTTTCATTCATTGCATGCCAGAACTGGAAAAATCATCCAGTTACCTACTGGTAGATGGAGAGCTCACTTCTTGCAGATGGAATCACAGAATAGTTGTGGTTGGAAAAGACCTTCAAGTCCATTGAGTCCAACTGTAACACACCACCACCATGCCGTTAAACCATGCCCCTGAGTGCCTTGTCTACACTTTCCTTGAACACTGCCAGGGACGGTGACTTCCCTGGGCAGGTTGTTCCAATGCTGGACTACTCTTTCTGTGTAGAATTTTTTTTCTAATATCTAACGTGAACCTCCCCTGATGGAACTTCAGGCCATTTCCTCTTGTCCTGTCAAACAGCTGTTTTGGAGAAGAGGTGTTGGGTTCCTCACTGCTCCAATTCTTTCACTAGCAAGGAAAAAGAAGCTCCTCATCATTAAAAGGGTTTCGGTCTACCCCGTAGTCTGAATATATCCTGAAGAGCTTCCTGCAGTGGTTCTCATTATATGGATGGTGTTCCTTGGAATATGAATGGTGTTCTCCGGACTGTATGATAGGAAGGTTCTCAAACACAAGTGCTGATTGTCATTGTGGAAGGAAATTAATAAAACTTATTTTTAAGTGGCATGTTTTTATTTTTTATTTTTTAAAAGAGGATAAAATATATCACTGAAACAACCCCACACAAGCAAATTCCAGAAGCTCCGTACAAGTGTAAACCCTTAATAAAATCCCAGAAATCTTCATTAACATAATTACTTGGCATGGCCTAGAACAGCTAGAGCATTGCTAGCAGAATTTCTCCATGCTAATACAACTCAACAACCCCAGGAAACAAACGTATTCTGCAATGCTACTGCTTTTTATTTGAAAAACACAGGAAGCGGAATGAAATGAGGGTCAGACAGTGACAAAAATAAAAGAATTCGAATGGGTTATGGACTTCTGCTGTGTTTTTAATGCAGACTCAACCCTACTTCGTACTGCAGACTGAGAGGAGTTCTCCAACCTTGCCTAGCATTTCTCAGAGCTCTATCTTCAGCAGCAGCTCTGGCTATCACGGCAGCTCAGGAGCCAGCTCTAGGCTCTGCTATCACTTCTCAAGGTGGATACCGGCAGGGAAGCAAGGAGAGAAGCTCCAGGAAAAGAAAATTCACTTCAGCTGAAGTCAAGTAGATGTTAGGCTGCAGAGGGAATGGGAGTACTAGTGGCCCACTCAATTAATTCCAGCTCAGTTTATTCTATTTCTTCAGGAAAAAAAGCTTTTCCCAGAGGCTGTGGGTAACTCTCTGTGACACATTTGATGCAAAGCTGGTCTGTAACCAGGCAGATCTCTGGTTCCCTGAGCAGAGACGACAGGGAGGGGAGAACAACGTGACAGAGATATGTCTGCAGTTAAAAATAACAACTCATCTGTGATTCACTTCATAGGGTTGCACCATTTCTTGTAGACTGATGTTCAGCTCTAGCGAGGCAGAATCCCCATTTTTCGGTAGCCCCCTGCACAAAATGGGCATTTTCACTTTTGTTCAGAATATGAAGGTGGCCCCTAAGAACTATGTCCATCCAGTCCAGCATCATCCTGCCTCTTCCAGCGGCAATGGGAGAGATTTTGTAGGATACATTTTCCCACTGAAAAATATCTGTGTATCACTGTTGATCAAAGGTGGTTGGCTGACTCACATCAGGTGCGCACACAAGCTGTTCTCGTCAACTTGCTTGTCAATATTAACATTCTTGTTAATATTGGACATTCACTGACAACAGCTTAGGCTTCTACCCCAAGATTCCCTTCTCCACGAGAAAAGCTGAATGCGAAATCTGGATCTTTGCTCAGTATGGATGGCATGGTCACTGGGATGGTTGAGAAAGTGTCCTGCAGTCAGTGCTGATTCTGTTTGTGACCTCTCTGGAGGAAGTTGTTAGGAAGATGGGATGACCTGTACCCAAATGGGGGACACAAGCACCCTTCTGAAGAGGGCTAAGGTTTTGGTATACTGCCTTAAAATCCAAAGACATCAAATGCTCTCACTGCTGAGAAAGACCAAATTTGATTTCTTAGACAGGCAATCCTTTCCTTGCAGGAAGGTGACCTCCCCACCACAGCATCTGAGACCACAGATGTCAAGAGAGGGAGATTTGGTCACCTTGTGAGGTTCACAGCTCTCCTCAGCCCCTAAAGAAGGGCTCCAAGGAAAGTTTTCCCATGTTTGATGTTTCCTTGTGGAAGCCAGAAGCCAACATCACATTAAAGTCCTGCTTTATTTTCAGACTTAGCTTGTAAACGTACTAACTAACCTAGTGCAACTTCATGGTAGCCGCAACCTGACCCTTAGATTCACCATTAACAGCACTTTTGCCTCATTTCCTTTCAGACAGCAAAGCAACCAGAAGCAGAAATCCCTACAGAGTCTGTGAGTCCACTGAGATTTTGTGGAGCAGCAATATAAACACCCATTCTCTAGCAACCTGGAGGCAAGATAGTCGAGCTGATCACACTACTGTATTACTCTGTATTTAAGGCAGAAGTTCTCTGCTCCTATGGAGGAGGAGATTCTACTCCTATGAATGTACATATAATGAAGAGCTAGTTACCCTCAGATTCTCTTCTCGTCAGCTGGGGGCAGTAAGCACCATATTTTTCTGACTATGGATGGTTTCTTCGTATTTCTTTTGGGGGAGATGAATTACATTCTGGTAGTTCCCCTTTTCCTCCAGTGATGGCAGATCCCTGCAGCCAAGTGAGGTGATTCTGAAGAGCAGACCTTACTTGTGCTTGGAAATCGGGTGTAGCAGTTTGGAGAGCTGGGTAAGTGACTCTGAAATCTTGTTTTACATAAAATAGGAAGGTGTTTCCTTCAGATTACATCACTATGGACAGAGCTTTCCTTTCCAACAATAATTTTGTTGTTGCATGCTTTTCTTTACCAGCAAATAACAATAGGCTTATGTAGAAAATAGTATTAGCAATTGTGCATGTGAGAGCTCACAAGCCTGAAATGTTTTGGTTTCATCATGAGCATCTGGGTATCAGATGCTCATAAGGCTTCTTCTTAGTGTGCTGAGGAAGGCTTGCTAGCTGGATCATGCCAAATGCTTTCTGCTGGAAAGCAGCTCCACGGAGAGGGACCTGGGAGTCCTGGTTGACACCAAGTTAACCATGAGTGAGCAGTGTGCCCTCGTGGCCAAGAAGGCCAATGGGATCCTGGCCTGCAT